ACAGTTCATAGCAGGCTAAAGACAGCAAAAGTAGCAAGTGACAAGTGGCAACAACAGCAGCCCTCTTTCTGTCTCATATTTTATCCAGGCACCTGCATGGCCAGTAGCACCCACACCCTTTATGCTAGCCTAGCATTGCATCATGAATCAATTCTGTCATCCCAGATCCCAGCATCACACACACACACACACACACACACACACACACACACACATACACACACACACACCCTAGATCCAGCCACCTCCAAAAAATCCCACCTATGACCATATGGGGCTTGGGGGGGCACATATCTAGATACAAGCTGTAATAGTAGTGGTTTTATTTTCTGTAGTAATTATTCCTAAACAAGCTGGAGCTTAGAACTATGTAAGCCTCTTTTAAATTCAGGCGCGGTTGGCTCTGCAACTTAGGTGGAGAAACCATGACTGGGAGGTGGGATGGACTGCAGAAGCCTTGCCAATAAGTCCAATAAAAATTAGCTTGTACTAGGGCAGTCCATTAAAAGTCCAAATTAGCAGTGTGAGCCCAGAATTCAGGGAATAGCTCACAGTGGGTCCATACAGGCAGGCTGTATGTCAGTGTCTTAGGAGGTGGCACAGCAGAGAGCAGCAGGCAGGAAGGGTATGCTGGACGCATCAGGTCAGGACTCCACTCTTGCAGCTGAGAAATCAGATGGCTTTCTTACCAGAGAGCCAAGGTTCACAGCGGGCAGAAATAGAAAATGTTTTTCTATCAGCTACATTTGCTCCATCTCCTTTTGTCCCTGTGCTGTTCTTTAACATTTACCCAAATCACTTCATACCTGCTTACAATTTTATGAACAGTCTTTGCCCAAACTCTGTCCCTTCCTCCTGTGAATCCGTGCCATGTTAGCCCTTTACATCAGCTTGAATCCACTGCCTAACTCCTCAGAAATTCCCAATACTGCCCCTGAAATAAAGCCCCACTCAGTCTGGCATTTAACGTTCTCTTGTTTGCCACAGGCTCCTGCTGCTCCTGAGAAATCTGAAGAAACACACTGTCTTGCTTGCTATGCCACAGATGCACCTTGCACTCCCCAGCCCACAGATGTTTCCTCAGGCTGTCCCATCAGCTGGATGCCCACCTCACCTCCCCAGAATGGACATGATCAGTCCGCACCCTGAGCACCTTCTCTTCCTCGGGAAGGGTTCTGTTGATGCTGGTTATATCTTCCCCCTTTGTAATGGGAAGAATATATGTATACTTTTTTTTTAAATGGAGGGTATCTAGAGTTGTGATGACTCTCTCACCACTGTCTTGATCTATTTAAATACTTTTTTTTTCTTCATCATCTCACCCCTTTCTTGTCTCCTGAACCAGACTACCAGCTGAGCTGTTGCAGGTCACATCTTGCTTCCTCTGAGAAGTGAGCACACGGTGTGCACAAACCATGTATTAATTTGAAAAATAACTGGTATTGACAGGTTTTCTTAGTACAGTATTTCTGACTTCATATTTTTGAACTGAATGAAGAACTATCCTTCTAGAAAACTGCCAATTAAATATTAGAAAAATACAGTGTTTGACGTAGTTATTTTTTAAACTCAAATATGGATTAGCATTGTTTCATTTTTTAGGGCAGGTTGGTGTGTGGATGTATATAGACATTCACGGCTTTGTAATTCTGTAGCACCATAATGATGTCTGATACCTAAGACACAGTAGCCACAAGTCTGCCCTTATTTTAGACACCAGCCACAAATTCAAGGGTCACTTGGACACTTCTGAAGCAAAGACTTAAAAGCTGCTTTTGCGAAATACAAAACAAAACCAAACAAACAAGCAAACAAAAAAATCAGTGACTCTTCACTTGGCCTACAGGTGCCCAATGGGTCACTGAAAACAAATCAAAGATTGACCACACAGTTGAACTCCATCTCAGCTCCCTTCCTCTTAGAGCCTGGACTGTTACCACATGGCTCAAAGCCCTCTCTAATCACTTTGTATCCTGCACGGCCAGCTGCCATCTCATTATGAGCATAAACTATTAGGTGTTGCCCACTCCCTTCTATTGCTCAGAAAATTCCAAGGAAACAGGGACAAAGGCTAGCCAAGTTCTTTAGTACACAAGCTAACATCTTCAAACAGATTAACAGGAAAATGCTTCTTTAATTATTACTCAAACATGTCAGACATAAAGGCCATACAGTACTTCAGACGTTCTTCAATTAACAACTGCAACACATCACCTCTGCTTATAGAACATGGGTAAGAACTTAGTCACAGGGCTGTGACTAATGGCAAGGGAGATGTGAAATTGTTTTATTCTGGACAGTAATGGGATCTGCTAAACTGTGAGGATTCTGTTACTGAGGAAGAAGATACAGACAGATAATGGATACTGACAGATGACCAGGAATCTGTGCCACAAGACAAATACTCCAAAGGCATGTGGGAGTAGGGTCACATCTATGACCTTCTCTGGGTCTTGGTTCCTCCTCTTGAAGATGAAGGGTTTTATATTTGTAGAGCTGAAGACCACCCAAATTAGAACAATCAGCAGCTGTTAAGAGACTTCTATAACAAAGCTATCAGCCACCATTACCTGTGGCAGATACCGAAACACATACAGGTAATGAGAAAATTTTATAATGGGAAAGTGCAATGCTTGGAGGTTGTTGGCATATAAAAGCTGGGGTGAGCTAACTAGAAGCAGGAACATCCATCTATGTATGTATGTATCTATCTATCATCTACTTATTTCTGAAACCTCATGAACTCATATATGGGACACTCTGGAGGTGATTGGGTCATGATACTCACCAGTGGATTAGCCCATTGGTGAGTTTGTAGCTAAACATGATGTTGGAAGATGAAGCCTGGTTGGAGGAGGTGGGTCAATGGGGGTGTGGCCTGGAAGGGTCTATCTCCCTCTCTTCTTCCTTGATCTCTGCTTTCTGTCTGCCAAGCCATGAGCTGTTTCTCCTCTGCCATGCTGCCTTGCCTTGGAGCCAGCCAAATGAGGACTGGAACCTCTACAAACTGTGAGCCAAAATAAGCCTTTCCTCCTCTAATTTGTTGGTGTCAGGTATTGTGTCCCAGTGACAAGTAAAGTAACTAACATATATTTCTTTGAGATTTTTATATTTATTAGTACATGTTTGCAGTACATAATGGTTATATTCATTGTGAGGAGTTGGTGCATGTACATGTCATTTTCTTTTTTCTTGGTACTAGGGATCAAACTCAGGACACTGGGCTTACGAGGCAGGCATGGCACCACTGAGCTAATCCCTGGCCCCATGTCTTCTTTTTTCATCTCCGTTTCACCATAGCATCTCCAAGAATAAATTAGATAGCAAAATAAAACTGTTAACATCACCACAAAAGGAAAAAGGACAAACTACTACTCATTAAAAGCATAATTTTTATTTTCTTCTGAAGCAAACTTAAAGGCTGCTTTTGCTAAAAACAAAACAAAACCAAGCAAAAATCAGTGACTCTTCACTTGGCCTACAGATGCCCAATGGGTCACTGAAAACAAATCAAAGCTTGACATCTTTGCCTTTATTTTGTATCTGTCTCCTTCGTTGCTTTAAAACATTGGTTTAGATCCCTGTTCAACTCTGCATATTATTAGTCATTTGAGGAATGCCTGTCTAAAACTGGTGATGCAAGGTCTTAGCCCTGAGTTTACCTATCCTACCTCATCCCCCTTCAGGACTAAGGACTCCAAGACAAGAGACTTGCAGGACATTCAACTGCAAGCTTTTCCAGTGTCCGGCTCGAGGCCCCTGGAATGGCATCTGGAAGTCTCCAGTCATTGGCCAAAACTTGCAGTCACCTTGGATTCCAACAGAGCTTCCACAAAACCAAGGCATCACTCTGCATCACTCCACACCCCAAGCCGCTGCAGTCACTTCATGGGAACCAGATTGACCCCTGAAGCAATAAGAACTTTTCTGGAGCCACTTTGCAGAACCAGAACCGAAATATTAAACAGATCCCAGCTTATCCCAGCAATCCCACAAAAGCTTGCCCTTTCCCTTGCTCATGGGCCAGTTTGATGTTCTCTGTCAAAGCTGAGCCTTCTTCAGCCCTTCTCAGCTTCTTCAAGCCCAAGTCCCTTCCCATTTTTTCTTCCTTCTCAATTAAAGAGTTTCCCTGTACATTCACATTGTTGCCTCAATTTCAATTTCTATGATCACAGAAGCACAGACCCAGGCCAACTGGGTGCAACTCCACAGTACATGAAGTGTAGCACACTAGGCCCGTCAGGAGATTCACTGGTTTTTGCCATGTTCCTAACCATCAGTTGGCTTGACAAATGGGAGTAACCGATCTCTGTTCTTTTAATTTGGCTAACTTGAGATGTTAAACATCTTCTAGAAAACAGATGCATCATATGTAAAACAGGTGGTAGTGAAATATTTTTGTCAGCAAATAAAAAAGGAAAAGAGAAAGAGAGGAAGCAGCTGTGTCAGCCTTGATAATCTTTGACTCTGTCTTGTCACTATTTTCTATTTTTCTGTATGTCCGATAATTTAAAAACTAAAAATCGGAGAGGATTCCTAGTCTCCCTCTTTGTGGGTCATTCTGGCAAGTGGGATCGTATGTGGCCAAGGCCGTGGAGAGTAAAAAGTCACGGGCCAGGGCTGGGACCTGCGTGTGCGACCGTTAGAATCAGAATGAACAAACACACACGCGTGTGAAATCCTAGGTGATTTAAGCGCCTTATCTAATCAACGTCAGAGCTTTCCTGGAGCTGGGCGCCTACCCTATGTGTCTTATTCCTGGATCTTTTTACCACTTAGCCTTTTTGGTGCTCGTGAGTACCAAACCCTCGACAGGGTCCTCAGGTACAACTCGGTTCCGAATGGCCCGCAGAACCACCGGGTAGAGCCGGGTGACCCGCCCTCGACAGTAAGACTCGGGGTGTCGGCCACGCCCACCCAGCTCAAGCCCCGCCTCCAGGTCCTAGCTCGAGGACCCCGCAGGGCTGTCTGTGGCCGCGCCTGATTGAACTCTCTCTGGGGCCTGTCCTACAGTCTCCCGCTCAGACCGGACTTGGCGCTTGGGTCTCGGTCTTCGGCGTCCTGCTGCGGGGTGAGACGGTCGTCTGACTCGGAGCAGTCGCGGCAGGCGGTAGGAGAGACTGCCCTACGGGGAGGCCGCGGGGGCTGCTGAAGCTCCAGCATGGCGGCGGCCGTACGCGCTGTGCGCTACCTGTCTGCGCAGTGCGGAGGCTCGGCCGGTGAGTGCGGGAATTGGGGGATCAGAGCTCTCGGAAGCTGGGGTCTGTGAAGAAATCCGGGCGGAGGGAAGAGAGTAGCTGTGGCCGCCGGCCGCTCGCGCCGACTTTCCACCCTCCCGCTCGCTCGCTGTGTGACCTTGGGCTCATTCTGTCCCATTCTGGGCCCTTGAATGTGAAGTGCTGAGCGTGAACTGGAGGCTGTCGACCAGGATTCTTTTCTGCCCAGGAAACTGGGTCCTCGGCGAAGAGGAGCGGGATGGGGTCGACCCTGGGTTCGGGGCTGAGGGTCGCCGGAGGAGCTCGCTGGGAGAGTCATAGGGTTAGTCTCAGTTGTTTTAGATCCAGGTGTGATCGGTGCTCCTGTGACTGCAGAGTCAGAAAGCACCTTTTGCTCTTCCCTCCCCAACCCACGCTGGTTGCCGGCAGCCCCGGGAAGGCGCTGTGCTGTTCTCTAGTACGGTTTCATCCAGGAACCGCTTCGTGATTGGCCTTGCCTTCTCGGTTTGCCCTGTTTTATTGTAAATTCACAGTCGAGCATTTATAATTCTAAACTCCAAAGACTCCTAAAAACTGAAACGTTCTTTCTTGTGACTCATCTTGCTGTAGTACTTGACCTGTAGTCATCTGGTGGAATATCTGCCCCGATCGTTCTTTTCGTTTGCCCGCTTTGTGGCCGCGTGTCCCCTTTCGCGAGTCCCCTTTTATTTATTTATTTTTTATCTATTTTTTTGGTACCGGGGATTGAACTCGGGTCCTTGCGCTTGCAAGGCAGGCCACCGAACCGCTGAGCTAAATCCCCGGCCCCGCGAGTCCCCTTTTAAATAGCCAGGTGGCCCTGCTTTCCATCCAAATGTTGTGTGATGTGTGAGGTAGATTCTTTTATTTTTCTCCTTGTAACAAATGTGGGGATTAAGACACACAGAGATTAAGAAAACGGTTCACAGTTTAGACTAAGGAACACGGCTTTTTGCACCCACAGCACCAGGCTCCAAAGTCTGTTGTTTTTCCTTCTTGTGCATGAACTCTTGTCATCAGCCTTATAATTCACACGCTGTATAGTTTAAAGTATACGATAATAGTTTTTAGTATTTTAACAGAGTTGTGTAGTCGTCATCACCGGCTTAGAGCATTCGCATCACCAAAAAGAAAATCTGTACGTTTTAGCTGTCGCGGCCCAGATCCCCGCTGTCCCACCGCTATCTTTCCTTCTCTCTGTAGCTTGCCCGTTCTGGACAGCTCATATAATTAGAACCATGTGATACACGGTCTTTTGTGACTGGCTTCTGCGGATTAGCATATTGTCCTGATTGATCTGTATTGTAGTATATGTCAGTAGTGCTTTCCTTAGGGTAGAATAATATTGTCTGGTGTCTCTGTACAGCATTTTTATGTGTTCATTGCTCAGCTGTTGAACATTTGGGTCATTCCTACCTTTTGGCTGTTATGCCTACTATTTCTACAGACATGTCTGTGTGTGTGTGTGTGTGTGTGTGTGTGTGTGTACGTGTATGTACTTGCATTTTATTTTATGTGTATGCCTGGGAGTGGAATTGCTGGATAAAATGGGAGCTCCATGTTTGACTTTTTGAGGAACTGCCAGACTGTTTTCCAAAGTAGCTGTATCATTTTACATGTGCATGAGGGTTCTGATTTCTCATTGCCAACATTTATTATCTGTCTTTTTTATTATAGCCATTCTAGTGATTTGAAATGATATTAATCTGTAGCTGTAATTTCCATTTACCTGGTGAGTAATGAACATGTTATTATGTGCTTGTAGCCATTTGTACAATTCTTTGGAGAAAGTCTTTTGAAATCTTTTGTCCACTTTAAAACTGGGTCGTCTTTTTGTTATTGAACTGTAAGAGTTATTTGTATTTTCTAGATATGAATCTTTTGTAAGGTTTATGATTTGTCAAAAATTTATCCCATTCTATGTGTTGTCTTTAACTTTCTTGATAGTTTTTTTAAAAACACATTTTATTGCTTCTCAGCCTTTTGGCTAAGATCAAGTATAAACACTTTTTTTTTCAGTGCTGGGAATCAAATCCAGGACCTCATGCATGCTCTGTATTATATCCCTTGCCCTGAAACACACACATTTTAAATTTTGATGAAATTTGATTTGTTTTTTTTCTTTTTCCTTTTGTCGCTGGTGCTTTTGGTTTTATATTAACAAACTGTTACCAATTCTAAGGTCATGATAATTTATCCCTTTGTTTCTTTGTAAGATTTTTATAGTTTCAGCTCATACTTTTAGGTTTTTCATGCATTTTAACTTAAGTTTTACATGTGGTAGGAGGTGGGGGGGGGTCCAACTTTATTTATTTATTTTTTTGATATGGGAAATGAACTCAGGACCTTGCACTTGTGAGGCAGGCGCTGTGCCTCTGAGCTAAATCCCTCTCTGACCCCCCAACTTTATTCTTTTGTATGTTGATATTATTCTTTCCCCATTGAATGGTTTTGAGATCCTTGTCAAAAATCAGTTGCCCTTCAACAAACGAATGGATAAAGAAAAAGTGGTATTTATACACAATGGAGTATCATGTGCTACAACAAAGGATAAATTTGAGTCATTTGTTGGAAAATGGATGTGCCTTGTGATCGTATTAGGTGAAATAAATCAGACACACAGCTTAAATATTGAATACTTTCTCTTACATGAGAAGTCCAAAGTGTAAATAAATTAAAAAGCAAAATGGAAGATAGGTGATAGGAAACAGAAAGATCTTTCTCAGATGGGAAGGGACCAAGAAATGGCAGGGGAGGGGACATAAGAATTAAGATGTGTTATGGACATGTGCTACTCCCCAGCATGAATGTAATCATCACTGCAATCATGTATTCATAAAAATAACAACTGAGAAAAGTCAGTTGCCGAGAGGTGCTGTCACAGCTGGTTCTAGAGCGCCACGCCTTGTGAGAGGTTGCAGGGGACTGGACATTCAGGGCCAGGGGCTGTGGGGCTGCAGAGGGGACAGAGAGGCTTCACTGAGAGCTGAGGTATCAGCAGGCCAGTGAGTGGAGCAGAGCACTGGGACCCACCACATCTCTGGTGTGGCGGGGGAGGGAGGAGGGCTGAGGGGCAGCACTGCCGGCTGTGCAGTGACTTTACACTCTGCTCTGCATGCAAGGTGGAGGGGCACAGAGTGACTCTATCTGTTGCTTTAGAAAGACAGTGACTTAAGAGAGGTTGGAGATGGGTTAGGAGACTGGTGTTACCCTGTGGCTGAGCCTGAACAGAGAAAAGCAGCAAGGCTGGAGGGGAGAGTGCATCAGACAGTGGGTTGATTTCTTTTTGTTTTTTTTGGTTTTTTTTGAGACAAGGTCTTGCTCTGTAGTTCAGGCTGGCCTTGAACCCACTATGTAGCCTTGAACTTGCAGCGATCCTCCTGCCTCAGCCTCCTGCGTGCTGGGTGCCAGGCTGTGTGGATGATTTTTTAGGAGACTCTAAGGCTCAGTGACAGTTGATATGAGGAGGAAGGGGGAAGGTGGGATGTGATGTTAGCTACCTGTCATGGAGCCCAGAAATGACTTGGTCACTTGTCTCACTTCTTTTATTAATATTATTATTCTGGGTATGACTATTTAAATTGTTCAATTTCATGTAGAAATATGTTTTTATTTATTTACTTGTTTATTTTTAATTTACAGGTCATTTCTGGTCCAGGCAGCTTTCCCTAAGTGCCTTTCCAACAGCTTCTGTTTTGGCATCAAAGACTACGACTCTCAGCAGTGGTGAGATTCATTGACTGTGTTTTCTCATAAGATTTAAAGTTAGAGTTGCTTCTGTAGGTTTTTTTTTTTTGGTACTGGGGATCAAGCTCAGGACGTTGAGCTTATGAGGCAAGTGTGCTACCACTAAGTTACATCCCAGGCCCTTCGCTATGTATTCTAGCCTGGTCTTGAACTCACTATGTCACCCAGGCTGGTCTTGAACTTACAGTGATACTCCTGCCTCAGCCTCCTGAGAGTTGGAATTATAGGTGTGCATCACCACATCTAGCACTTCTGTAGTTTTGTTTTTTTTGGTACTGGGGATCGAACTCAGGACCTTGTGCTTGTGAGGCAGGCACAGTGCCACTGAACTAAATCCCTGGCCCTCTTTATGATGGAACTGTAGAGGCACATAGTTTTCAAATTTTTTATGATTGCTGTTGTCACAGTTCGAGGCTGTAAAAATAGTGGCTCCCATGTACTGGGTAGTTACTGTGGGTTTGGCATAAACATGTTTTCTTGGCTAATCCTCACACCAGCTTTTATAAGGAGGTTATTGGTCCTGTTCTGTAGATCATAAAGTTAGTCTCGGAGGGGCAAGTGACTTGGTCAGGATTGCGCAGCCAGTAATGGCAAGGCTGGGACCCGAGCCATTGGTGGTTGAAATCCCATCTCCTAACCTGTCAGGTGCCCTCCAACAGGTCTAACCTCTTAGGCCTCAGTTTCCTGGCCTGTGAAATGTAGAGGTTGGGTTCAGTGATCTCTAGTGACCAAAGGAAGTTAGCCTGTTATTTTTTAGTGTCCAAATGTGGTGGGGATGTTTCAATGGCTTACTGCTACCGTTGAATATCATTTTTCTCCTTAACCAACTTAACTTTCTTATTCCACTGGTGGTGAAGCAGTTGTCATTGTCACACTGGTTTTCTGTTTTTCAAGCCCAGCACCTGACAGCTCCCTTTCTCTCTAGAGCTGCTTTATCCCCACACTGCTCCTGCAGGCTCTGGGTTCTCCAGTGATGTGGGGCTCCGAAGGTGAGTGCTGTTTGGTCAGCACAGTCCTGTTTCCTCCCATCCCAATGCCTTGTCCTCACTTGACACCACCTCCCATGGGATCAGTCAGATGTGCCTCTTAAAATTTTTGAAAAATGATACATGGTGTGAAAGAAATCCAGATCAGTGGAGAAAAGCAAATCTCTCATATCCAACCTTAAATGCACCTAGTATATTCTTTGGGGGTTTTTTGTTTTTTTTCTTTTTTCGACAGAGTCTCTGCTTTTGTACTTTAGGCTCGGCTTGAACTCCTGGTGATCCTCCTGCCCCTGCCTCCCAGGGTCTGGGATCACAGGCGAGTGCCACCATGCCCAGCTGTGTTTTCTTCTCTAGGGGAAACCATTGGTACCCTAGTTTCTTGTACATACTATATTTCTGGAGTTAGTCTATAAAATGTATTCACACATCTTCCCTTCCCTCTTTGTTTTGTAAACATAAAAGGTGGGATGCTCTAGGCCTTGTTTGGCTTCTCCCTTTCCTAACCAGTTTGGCAGTGCTTCTAAATCAATGCATTGCTAGCTGCATACAGCAGAGGGTGCTGTTTGCCCCATGTAGACTGCTGAGCTTGGCTGGGTAAAGCAGCTCAGAAATCCTGGTGTGGACAGTCTGTCTCTGCCCACTTCCCCAGTCTTCCTTCTTGAAATTTTGAAGGAAGAAAAAACAATTTGTCCTAGTTTTGCTGTCACACCTCAAACTGAAAGGGTTCCAGCCAGCCACAGTATGTGAAAAATGGTTTGTCAAGATGGAGAAGGCGCTAATTTTGTGTAAAGATTTAACTTTTTGGGGGCAGCACTGGGAATTGAACCCAGGGCCTTTGCGCTAAGCCACATCCCCACCCGTTTTATTTTTATTTTGAGACTGGGTCTCACTAAGTTGCCCAGGCTGGTGTCAAACTCATGATCCTCCTGCCTTATCTCCTCTGAATGCTGAATGTACAGGTGTGTTCCACCAAGCCTGGCTGATCTGCTTCCTTAGACAGCTGCATTCATTGCACAAAAAAAGTACAGCTCCTCTGACTAGCATGGGCATTTAAGTTGTTCTAAATCAAAACAGTCACATGTTTTTTTGTGTTTTTTGTTTGTTTTTTAAGACATACTGTCCTCAAAATATGAATTTTAAGAGGTTGGGATTTTGTGACTGATTTTTATAGTAACAACAACTTGATCTGTCAGTGTTTCTCCACAGCTGTGAAACACCTAACTCAAAGTTTTATTCCTTCTACCTGTAGGCACTTTGTCACCACGGGGCGCCAGGGATGACCGTCATTTCACCAGCTTGCGCTTCGCGCTGCAGACACAGTGCTGTATTTCTTCTCCCAGCAGACTGATAGGCCAGCAGTGTAGACCCTACAGTTTCTTCACTAAATGTACGTAGATTGTGCACAGACGTCACCTGCCGTGTAACAGGAGAACAAAAGGTGTTTTTATACCTGGATTTTTCTTCTTTCTTAAATTAATTAACATTTTACTGACTAGTTTGTGAGTTACTATTAAAATAAAAATGTTCCTTGCTATACCTCCTAGAATGATCTACCACTTACAGTTGTACTTTGCAGAGTCCTAATATACTTCATTCCCCTCATTTGTGACACCTGAGGCCTCCAGGGTATTGAATTGTGGCCCAAACACACTGGATTTAGAGCCACACCAAGAATACACTCAGTTTTTTCAGTTGTACCTTAACTGAAGAGATGGGGTGTCAAATCAGGAAAAGTTAATTGAAGATGTTATTTTACTCACATTATTCCTAGTTATTGGATTTGAGAGCCTAATTTGGTCTAAATTTAGCTTGTCAAGTAGTAAATGGAGATTGAATTCCACTTAGGTAGATTAAAAGAAAGTAGGATAATAAAGGCAATTCATGATCCTGCTGTAATACTCAGTAAAAACAGAAAAATAAATGAAGCACATTAGCATTTATCTTAGAATGTTTTTGAAACAACAAAATAATTTGGGGAGTTGTTTGAAAATCTCTGTGCTTCCTATTTCTATTACTAGTTTCTTTTGTTTATTGATTGTCCTTTCATTTGTTTCTTCTTTGTAAGAGATTCTTTGCTTTTTTTGTTTTGTTTTATTTTTTGAGACAGGATCTTGCTATGGAGTTTAGACTGGCCTATGTAACTCTGTCTGGCCTTGAACTTGTGGTGATTCTCCTACCTCAGCCTCCTGAGTGCTGAGGTTACATGTGTGAGCTACCATGCCTAGCTAAGAGAGTCTTTTTTTTGTTTGTTTGTTTGTTTATGACTTGTACTCTGGCCATTCTTTAAAGTCATGATACACAGTATATCAACTGTTGTTATTCTCTATTTTGTTTTGAAATTTTGTTTTCTTCCCAAAAGTAAGAAGAGTGTTTTTTATATTTTCTTTATTAATACCTACTTGTGTAACATTAAAATAAAAAAGTAAAAAAATAAATAAAGCCAGGTTTAAAAAAAAAAACCAGAAAATATAAACTCAGATCCCTGTGTTGCTACTGTGCTAACCCTGAGCAGGGTGGTGCACTGTGTCTTTGTCCGGGGACTGTTCCCAGGCAGTGCTGTGACCAAGAGTATCTCATGGGGCACAGCTTGTTTTAGTTTGGAGATCACTTCTGTAGCTAGGCAGACAAGACTAGGCAGTGGTGGGTTGTCAGAATCCTCATAGCTGAGCACTCCTATGGACTTAGCTGCAAAGAACGAAGGTGTGGGCAGAGCTGGGGCTTTTAGTCTCTCCCCTTGTGCCCATAGAGCCCCCCCCCCTTTATAATGAATTAACTTCATACTTTGGAGGAGTGTATCAGAGTCATAGGCTTGGGAATTTTTATTTTTAGTTGCCTTCTCCCTGCTTTAAAAAGCCTATTCTCTAACTCTTCTTGTTCTTGCAGTGCCCCTTACTGTAATAGACCCTATCCTGACCCTATCCCAAGTCTGTGGCTGCCTGTGCATTGGTCTTCTTGTCCTCAGGTCTGTGACTGTGACCTTGTGGGTTATTACTCCCAAGTCATACTGAGCCTCACTCTAGTGGGCAGGCTGAGTTGAAATTAGATCTTTCAATAGGAGATAGTCTTTAGTTTTCTTAATCTCCAAGAAACAAACCAAAAAATCCCCCACAGTCTTTGAGTACATGTTGATTTCCTTGTTAAGCCTATCCCCTGCCATAGAAAGAGCCTGCCACTTAAATTCCTTTGATCCAAGTTAGTAAGTAGTGTTTCCTGGCATGATTAAGAGAGAACTTGGGCTCTGGGGATGCAGCCTGCGGCAGAGCATTTGCTTAGCATGTGTGAGGTCTTGGGTTCTATTCCCAACACTGCGAGGGGGGTGCTGGCCCAGTATAGTATATCAAATCTGACGCTACAGTGGATTTTATATGTGGGTACATAGAAAACATGGATTTTATTTTATATAGCTGTGATAGTTAAGAGATGCATGTATTAACCTAATCGCTCTTCAAGGGAATGACATAGTTGCCATAATAGTAAATCTATTTAATTCAACTTGGACTTACCTGTAGCCATTTAAAAAATCATGTTCATGAATAATATTTCCAAATCAGGAAAAGATTTAGAGTATAACAGGCAGGGCTGGGGATTTAGCTCAGTGGTTCTGCAACCTGTCTTGCAAGCTCAAAGACCCAAGTTCGATCCCCAGTACCAAAAAAAAAAAAAAAAAAAAAAAAAGTAGAGTATAACAAGCAAACAAAATTATGCTTATGGAGGCTGGGCATGGTGGCGCATGCCTGTAATCTCAGCACTCAGGAGGCTGAGGCAGGAGGATTGTCATGAGTTTAAGGCCAGCCTGGGTTACATAGTTGAACATCAGCCTGAACTACATACCAAGACCCTATCTCAAAAAAAAAAAAAGATGCACATGATATAATTTTAACTTTGTTTAAATAGACAAGTAATTCGGTCAAATGTGCACACACATATAAAGAAAAGCTATTCTAATATAATAGTGACAATGGGATTATGATTAATTTTTGTATTATCCTTTTTCATATTTAAAAATAATTTTTATAATTAAAAGTATAAAAACATTTAACAGCTGTTAATAAGGTAGCATACATGATTTGGTATCTGTTTCAAATGTGGCTAGATAATTTATTTTCCTTTTAAGTTAAAAAAGATTAACTCAATTGAGTCTTACTCTTGTTTCATTGTCAAGATCCTTTTAAAATTGAACCTTTTTTTAACTCTCTCTAAAGTTTTATTTCTATTTTTCTGTGTAGTAAAATACACATAACGTCTGATTTGCCATCTTTCCCACTCCCGAGTGCCCAGTTCAGGTCAGGAGGCTCCCACTGTGGTGTCACCGACCTCCAGGTGTTTTCATACCAGGAAATGGACTCTGTGAGCTGGAAGCATCTCTCTTCTGACCCTGGGAGCTGCCTTTCTGCTTTCTGTTTCCGTGAAGTTGACTGCTTTCCATACCTCATAGAAAGAATGTAGTACTTGGATTTTTGTGGCTGGCTTATCTCACTAATTTTATAAAATTGTGTAATTCTCTGTATAATTGAAACCCCCTGTGTGCATCACCCAGCTCTGACCATTGCCACCTCATGGCCAGTCTTGTTCCATTGACCTTTTCCACTTCCCCCACTCCAGTTACTTTGAAGTGAATCCCACATAGTACAAAATACTTCATATTTTAGCACATCTCCAAAGACAAGAATTCATTTCTTTCTCTCTTTTTTTTTTTTTGGTACTGAGGATCGAACTTGGGTCCTTGCACTTATAAGACAGGTGGCAGAACCATTGAGCTAAATCCCTGGGACAAAGAACTCATTTTTTTAAAATAAAGACTTCCCTTTTTTTTTTTTTTAAGAGCAGTTTTAAATGATTTACTGATTCTGCTTCTAGTGAAGGTGAACTATAGTCGATGGTCCTCTTAGTATGGCCCCATTACAAGTAAAGTTTTAAGTTTTTAATAGCATTTGTTGGCACTTTTTATTTATTTTTGAGACTAGGTCTTGCTATATAATCCAGGCTGGCCTTGAACTCACCATGTAACCCAGGCTGGCCTTGAACTTGCAATCCTCTTGCCTCAGCCTTCTGGGTACTGGGGTTACAGAAGTGCAAAGCAATGCCTGGCTCATCAGTGCCATCAGTTTTAGAGAGTGAGGGGGAAATAGTTCTATAGGAAGAATTTAGTTTGAGGTTGGCACTTTATTTTGAACCTGTGGTTCTTTGATGTGAATTAGCATTGATCTAAAGTTTGAGCTTTATTTTTTGTTCCATCAGGGATACACAAAGCAGCCTGTAATGTGAAATTTCACATTTTCCAACTTCTTCATGAAGATTAGCTATATTACATGTGAGTGTTTTCAAAGTGGGATCCCATATAAATATAAATTTTTTTTCCTGGGGGGGGTACCAGAGATCGAACTTGAGTCCTTGTGCTTGTGAGGCAGGCGGCGGAACCACTGAGCTAAATTCCCAGCCCTAGATATAAAGTATTGAAAAATAGTGTAAATCCAAAAGGTTTTCCTTTCCCATGTTACTTTCCTGGAGTGTTGAGGTAGGGTCCTTCAGGAACGGGACAGGTTGAACTTCTAAACCCAAAGGTTCATAAAAGGAGAATGAAGGTACTCAGTTGCCATCTATCTATCTATCTATCTTAGAAATTTTGAGTAGGATACCATTTATGTAGCTCTATTTTTTGTTTTGGCAGTACTAGGGATCAAACCCAGGGGTGCTCTACCGCTAAGCTACCTCCCCAGCCCTTTTTATTTTGAGACAATTTCTTGCTAAATTGCCCAGGCTGGCCTCGAAATTTCAGTCCTCCTGCCATAGCCTTCTGAGTAGCTGGGATTGTAGGTGTGCACCTCTGCACTCAGCTTTATTAAACAACTCGGTGATGCAGTAAAACCTGGTCATAAAATAATTGGTTAGCTGTAAAAGGCTAGAAATCTTTGGGAAGGCAGACTTTAAATCCAATGAATACGTAGCTATACCAATAAAATTCAGTAATATTGACAGAGAGGTATGATGGAAATGAAATTTGGGATCCTAAAAATTCAGAAGTAGAAATAAGTCAGCTTGCCAGAATCTGTACGTAGATAAAGTCACATGTGATGCAACAACACGCCCGCGTGCACACTTAGGATTAGTTGTCAGATATCTTTAGACGCTTCCTTCCCTATGTATCGGCTAGCCTGGAGTTAAAGGTGAATTTGAATATCTCATTTTCAGGTCAGTGATGTTTAGGGCATCAAAAGAGTGGGGCAAACAATCTAAGTCCTTCAGATTTGTGGGTTTACATTGAAGTGTTGATTCTTGCTTGACCAAGAAGCCTGTGTTTAGGAAGGATAGTTATTGACTATCTCAGTGGAGGTTGTGTAGGCAAGAGGACAGGAAGAGAAACAAGGAAACAGCCACTAGTAAGTAACTAGGATTTTGTGGAAAAAAGTAATAAAATTGGCTCCTCTTGGGCTTTCCAAGTGTAACCATGTGACATGTAGAGAATGATTTTATTTTGCTTTCTTTACCCCAGTGATACCCGTGAAGCTGGCCCCTATGGCCTTTTTCATTCAAGAGAAGACAGTAGGTCATTGCTCAAAAAAATACAGTATTAAAAAAATAAACAACCCTGTTTCATTACAGTGACGGCAGATGAGCTGTGGAGAGGCGCTTTAGCAGAGACCGGTGCTGGAGCAAGAAAAGGAAGAGGCAAAAGATCTAAGAAAAAGAGAAGAAAAGATTTGAATAGGGGTCAGAGTATTGGCGAAGGTAAACTGACAAAAACAGCTAAAGTGCTTTTAAAGTATTTTCCTTTGGAGTTTATGAATTTAAACTAGAAGCATCAAAACATTTCTCATGAAATACAGTAGGGTGTATGGTTGATTGGTTGGTTGATTGATTGCTTGATTGATTTGTCTTTTGAAACAGAGTCTTGCTATGTAGCCCAGGCTGGCCTAGAGCTCAGGGCATTCCTCCTGCCTCAGCCTTCTGAGTGCTGGGATAATAAGTGTGTGTCACCATGCCTGACAGTTTTTGCCTATATAGATAATGTTTCAGTGGACATTCTTGTCCAAGCCCACATGTGCCTTGAAGCTGCATGTGAGCATTTCGCTAGCCTGTGATACTGGAAAGTGGAATTCCAAACTTGTAGGGTTGTTTATTTAAAACTTTGGTAGTACTAAGTGACTGCCATGTTAGTTTAAGTCCCAAAACTGTGTTGTTATCTGTACATACATCGCTTGGTATTTTAACACTTAAAAGATGAATGCTTTTTAAATTTATTTCTCTTGGTAAACCTTCAGGGCATTCTGGTTTCCTGTGGCCTGGCCTGAATGCCCCTCTCATGAAAAATGGGGCCATGCAAACCATTGCCCAGAGGAGCAAGGAGGAGCAGAAGAAGGTGGAGGCTGACATGCTCCAGCAGCGAGAAGAGTGGGACCGGAAGAGGAAGATTAAAGTGAAGCGGGAACGCGGGTGGAGCGGCAACACGTGGGGTGGCGTCAGCCTTGGGCCCCCTGACCCCGGGCCCAATGGAGGTAGCTGAGGCCTGGTTTGGCTTTCTTGCTGACCAGGAGAGGGCTTGTAATTCTAGAATATGTTTTGACATGGTTTTATTTACTTACCTGTTTGGATTGCCTTTTGCCAAAGAGGGATTTGAGCATCCCTGAAGAACTTGCCACATTATTGTCCCAGCTGTGTTTTGAAAGGAAGGAAGGCCCTGTGCTCCAGCTGCCTTTGTCTCATGGCTGCTCAGAGCCTTTAATGTGGTGCATGTGGGTGCTGGGTTTCCCAGACACAGGTGGCCCTGGGGCTACCTGGGAAGCCATGTGGCCTGTGAATGTAGTATCCATAACAGAAGCCAGCAGGCCAGAGAGTTGTCATTAAGTCTCATAAAAACACAGGAGACAAAGATCACTAATACTTAGGCCAAGTTAGAAAACAGGGTCCCTCTGCCACTCCTGAGCACACAAACAGGTAAAATTCATCTGGAAATCTCATCTGTCAGGGAGGAGCCAGGAGGAGGCAGACAAGAGTGGCTGCATTCCTGGAAGTATTGGCTTAAGGCAGCAGGAAGAGGTTGAGGCAAGTGTGTTCAGAGCCTGGCCCAGCTTCAGCTGGGGGAGCAGGAGCCACAGACCACCCCCAGAGGGGACCCAGATCCAGAGTCTCGGTTCTGGGTTAACTTGGTTTTTTTTTGTTACCGGGGATTGAACTTGGGACCTAACACTTATGCGACAGGCAGTAGTACCACTGAGCTAAATCACCGGCCCTCTGGGTTAACTTGTTAACAGAAGCAAGGCAGGTTAGGTTCAGGGAGCCTGTGCAGCTGGTAGGGAAGGGGCGTCTGTGGGTGGGCCAGCTCTCAGTGCAGACAGAGATGAGGCGTCTGCACTGATGCTCAGAATTAATTGTCCCATGGAGTTTGAGCTTTTAGAGGAAAGATGATTGGCTGTGAGTTGAAGAAGACTAACGGATGTGTAAGCTTTTATTTTGCTGTCTTATTTTTGTATACTTGAAATTTCCTACAGTAGAAAGTTTTAAAAGAAAAAAAGAACATAATGAATACTTGACATGGTTGCTGCTGTACAGAGATAAACTAGAAGAACTTGAAAGGCTGGTGGGCAGCGGGGTGGGGTGGGAGACGGTGCTTGTGGCCTTGGACTGCACTTTGACTTCTCTCCAGCAGCACCCACAGGCCAACTGTGACCAAGCTGCGTCGATTCTGGCCTGGACAGTGCTGGAGAGAGAGAAGGATGGAGGAGTTGAGGACCCTCATTGAAATCGTGGACTTTAGTATCTTGGTCAAGGGGAGGAGGCCACGAAGGTGGAGAGAACAAGAGAGGTGGTGGCTGAGGACCATTGTCCTGGGAGCCTAGGAGGAAGAGGAGGAGCTGGAGAGGAGGGTACCCCCGAGGGGAGAGAAGTGACCTAGTGTGTGAGCTCTGTGCTGCTCAGTCTCTGCTGATGCTGGGGACAGGGCATGGCCTGGGGAGTGGCATAGCAGACCTGAGACTCACACAGGTCTACTGTGATAGCTGCACTGAAAATGCGTTGTACATGAATAGTACAGACGCGTTTATTCCTGTACTTGTTTGTTTTCTTCTTGTAGAAACGTATGAGGATTTCGATACCAGAATACTAGAGGTAGGCATGTCAAATTAAGTACTGGTTATGCCTTTGGAGCGGTTGGGTGGATGGGGTAGGGATAGAAGGAGGAAGTGGGAAAAAATGCTTTTCATGCATGATGATTTCTCAGATGCCAAGCTGAATTGGGTAAGGAGATAAATTTTGTTTCCTTGATATTGGCTGGCCCAACTACTGCCCTTTTGAAGGGGCTACCAAGTTGTGAAGGCAGCTTGAGTACTATGGTGAATATCAGGATTTAAATTTCCTCTTTCTATAAGCTAATGTAGCATTAGCAATCTGTCCCTGAGCTATGACTCAGCTGTATGTAGCCCTCAACTCAGGGAGCAGAGATTGGGCAGAGAAGGTGGCCTGAAAGCTCAGATTGAAGTAGAGTGTCTGGTCACGGAAATGGCCTCTGGAGACCAAAGTCTGTGTCACGTAAACATTAAACACTCTTAATCACTGATGGCTTCCTCTCAAACAGTGTTCCTATGAGCTGCACTGAGTACTTAGTCGGTGTAACAGCAAATGGAATAATCATTTATTAGGTGGTGATAGCACCTCTCTGAATATATTCTTTTTTTCGGTATGTTACATCATAAAATTTAAAATAATGTTCACAAGTGTTAGTATTAGTGTCTCAGTTTCTAGCTTTTGAAAGTTATTCCCTTTGTAAAATTCTTGTGTATCTATGGTTTCCTGTAAGATTATCCACAACAATGGACCCAATCTCTCTTTTCCTTCAGCTCCATTTTATAGGAAAGGGGTCACCATGAGCTAGACAGCCAGCTACCATGTGAGCAATTTATTTAACATTTTCATAGTTCCTGGTCTTTAATAGGATGAAAAACAATGCTTATTTTCCTGTATTCAAAATAAGCAGGTATTTCTAAATTTTCTATTCTCAGTTATCCTAATCCTTAATGTAGAGATCCAAGCCTGTGCCATTATTTTTGTGTGCTGCATTTCATCATTTCTAAGATACTTTAACATCTCTGATAGTGGCATAGGGCGTATAATCAGCGATAAAAGATTTCAAAGTTTAATCCACAACTTTTTTCTTTCCTGTAGTGTAATCATTAAGATAGGGTGTATTGAGTTGTATGGTTTCAGATTTCTTTAGGGATTCCCACAGGTGTATCTTCTCTAACCCTGTGAAAGGAAGAGCAAGTCCCGTTTTCATTCTGTTCGTGTGGTGTCAGTCCAGAGGGTGGTTTTGTTTGGAGAGCACTTGTCACTCTGCTTGTGGAGTAAGGGGTGATATGGTCACTTGAGTGAGTCAGGCAGGTCCCAGGTCCCACCAGTCCCCTGCTCTAAAACCTTCTTAAGGCCTATTATTGATGACACCCTATGTCTCTTAGGTGAGAAATGTTTTCAATATGACAGCAAAAGAGGGAAGGAAGAAATCAATCCGTGTCCTGGTCGCTGTGGGGAATGGGAAAGGAGCTGCAGGTAAGTTTTGATGACACTGCTCACAGTGGTGGCCATGGTGGCGTGGGCCCTGCTGGGGGCTATGTGTCCCTGCTGCTGGCCTGACTTTTCTGCTGATTCGAGCCCACAGATCTTGAAACCTTCAGAGTTTGTGAAACCTTCAGAGAAAAATGAAAGAATGGCTCTTCCTCCACCTACTCCTTCTTCTAAGGACAGTGGATATTTTAAAAGGCATACGACACTGATAATAGTGAAAAATTAGTGGGGAAAATAGCCCGTATAGCCTTGGTTACACACTAGTACAGCTATACAGTGTAATATTCTGTAGTAATTAAAGAGCTACAAAAAAAGTCACTGCATAGTAATGCTGAAAAAAAATGTAATACTGCATAATACAGTCCCAATTTTTTGTACCAGGGATCAAACTTGGGACCTTGCACTCGCGAGGCACACTCCCAGTTTTTTAAGATTTGAAGGCTATACACTGGAAAGGTTAATAATGTTTACTGCAGTCAGTAGATTTGCTAACCATGTAAATTTTCTTCTTTATACTTCGTTGTAAAAATTCTATGAACATGTGCATTTGAAATTATGCATGCCTGTTGAAGGGGAAAAACTGGAAAACTGCCAGTTAATCCTTGGTGACACACAAAGCAAAAAAATATGTATAGATGATATGCTGCTGTAAGAAGCTGTGCTTAAAAGTCAAGTTTGGTGGAAAATGGCTGTAATCCTAGCACTCAGGGAGGCTGAGGCAGGACGATCGAAAGTTTGAGCCCAGCTGGGGTAATTTAGTGAGACTCTGACCCCAAAATTTGAGGCAGGCGGCGGCACCACTGAGGTAATTCCCCAGCCCTTGACCTCAAAATTTGAAAAAAGAAACCATACTTAATAGTCACTTTTGCATCTCTTTAAAAATATCTTTTCAGAAATTTCGTATTCATATATTGGCCCTTTATCTTTTATTAGAAAACCCAGGGGTCATATTGTAGCAGTAAACTTTTGCACATTTTCCTTTCTTAGTGTTACATCCAGAGCTTTTGTATCAGCATCAGCAGATTCTGCTGTGTTCTTTCCACCATGTTCTGTTACACAGATTAATTTTTGTAATATTTTCTTTATTGCTAAGTATGTTATTTCCACATTTTTACCATTTTAAAAAGCGAGCTTCTTGTACATGTTTGTTGCACTTTTGCAAGTACAGCAATGGGGAAAAATTCTTGGAATGAAATTGCTGCCCGGTACTGTTTCGTGAGGCCACATTCATATATGTCCTTTATACACCACACCGGTACCCTGGGGACATCAGACTTTGCTGGTTTTCGTTATAATATGTGAAACATCTGTTAGAGTTTTCATGGGGTTAAGCATTCACAAATTGAGGAAGAATTGGTTTTATTTCCTCATTAGTTAAAACTGTTTTACTCGATAGCAATGTAGTTTTCTTCTACCCTTTCTGGTTGTTTTAATCTTGTTTCCAAAAGTGACCCCAAAATGCTTTGTTGTATTAATTTAGAGCATAATTATTTTTTTAAAATTAAGTGCATTTCATTTTATTGGAGATTAATGAAAAGCAGTGTTATGCATCTAACATTGGATTTCATAATCTATCCAATGTAAAATTTCTAAAATGCCTCAAACAGATTAGCAAGTCTCTGTAGCCTTGGATGTGTTGTTGGGTGTGGACAGCAGGTTTTCTGGGGGTGGTAAAAAGGTGCTATGGGAGCCCAGTCCAGGAATGTGTAAAAGGCAAAGAATGTGCCAGAGTGATTTCTCCTTTCATATTTTTGGTTTGTTTTCTTTTTAAGGTTTTGCCATTGGGAAAGCCACTGAACGGGTAGACGCTTTCAGGAAAGTATGTACATGCTTTTTTTTTCTTTTTTGACATGTAGTAAAGGATAGTGAGGGATCCACAAAAAAATAATAATTTGTCCCAGAACTTCCTCATGAATCTGTCAAAGTTTACTTATAAAAAACCGTATGAAGCCAGATGGTGGTGCACTACCTATAATTTCAGCACTCTGGGAGGCTGAGGCAGGAGGACCAGAATATCAAGCCCAGCCTTGGTAACTTAGCAAGACCCTGTCTCAAAATAAAACAAACAAACAAAGAAAAAGGTTGGGGATGTAACTCCATATGAAGGCCCTGAGTTCAGTACCCAGTACCTAAATAGATAAATAAACCATTTCAGAGCATAAAGATACTTCTGTGCTTTTCATCACTGTGGCCAGGCTTGTGATTGCTTACCAGAATTATGAGGCAGCTGTGGAAGTTTGAATACTGACGGAATGTGCGAGGATGCCAGGGAATTGTTAGGTTAAGTGTGATATTGTTGCTGTGGTTATGCTTTTTGTAAGCTCTCGTCTTTTAGAAGTATATACAAAATGCTTGCGTAAGTGAACTGTTTCATAATAGAATCTTTTATAAAAAATATTTTTGAACTCCAGCAAGAGATTTAGGAAAACATTTGCCTTCCTTTCTTTAGGCAAAGAACAGAGCAATTCACTACTTGCATTACATAGAACGATACGAAGACCATACAAGTGAGTGTTGTTCGTTCCTTCTGGAATTTACAGTGCCTGAGGCGATATGTCTCTGTGGGTACTTTTGTGTTCCTGTCTTACTTCATTCTTAGGAAGATATGAAAGGTGGAAGCAGGCTTAGTCTGTTGGGGAGGTTCATAAAGTAAGTGAGGTCCGTGTGGTCACTGGCCACCATGTGCTGACTCTCTAGGACGGTGCGCAGTGCCCTGTTTTATTTCCAGAGGTGTCAAAGCCGTGAATCTAATCCTTGTTGTGTTTATGTTTTTATTTTCCAGTATTCCATGACATTTCATTAAGATTTAAAAGGACACATATCAGGATGAAGAGACAACCCAGAGGTAAGTAAAAACTCTTAACATTAGTTGAGGGTGAAGCAGGAAACCCTACTCTCCTGTCCTCCCTCTTGTCTTTGGTCCCCTTTACCTGAGCTCATCTGGACAGCTCCATCAAGGAAAGGCCCGAGGGAGGCTTAGGGAGCAGAGGCTCCTGGGGAAGCAGTCGAGCCGTAGGCAGGAAGAGCACATGGGGAGGAAAGAGAGGCCAGGGGTGGAGTTGGGCTAGGATGAGCGGGAGCATTGGCTTCTCTAGAGGATTCGTTGCTGTTAGATGCTATCAGATGCTATTAGAGGTTGCTGTTTTTACAGTATGTTCAGTTCCCATCACTTAGCACTGCAGGCTCTCTTTGAGGATCTCTTTGTCCCTGAGTTGGGACCTGGAGGCTGGTGCCTGGTAAGCACATTGGGCATGCCTCAGCCTCTCAAGTCAAGCATTGAGCACTTTCTATGATCTCTGCTGACAGAAGCTCTGGGATGCAGGCAGCAGAGTTGGTCATGCCTGGTGCACTCTGGGTGTAGGATTCTTAAACATTCAGATTCATGTTTCTTCTGTTCGTCTACAGTAAACGATGATTTCATAAACCTCTAGTTATAAACCTAAGAAAGTTTGTGTCAGAGGCAGAACATTTAAAATTCATATTAAAGCTTCTAACAGAACTCTGCTAGAGTTACAGCATGGAAATAAATCAAGAGAAAAAAATTGAAGCCGGTGCTAGTTGTGTTAATGCAGTAGCACTTGCCTTCTGCTTAAATGCTCTACTTAATCATTCAAATGCCTTGTAAAGCCTGTTTGTTTCATTAGTAAGTGGTGTTGAATTGAGCACTCAGGCAACAAGGTTTCAAACTGTGCTGTTCTGTACAGTGATTACCAGCCAGTGGGGCAATCGGGCACTGGGAGTGTGGCCCTTGAGTTCTAAGTATAAAGTGCGCACTAAAGCCTTGGTCTGAAACAGACTGTGAATTAACTCACCAGTATTTTTGTAGATAATAATCATGAAATGATAATATTTGGACATGTTGGCTTATTAAAATACATTACTAAAATTTATTTTTAAAAACTTTAAAAGTACACTAGGAGAAATCTAAAATTACATACATGACTTCTGTTTCTAATTTACATCAATTTTTGTTGGACAGTATTGGTGTAGACATATTTATACCTGAGTGATTTTTCAAAGATTGTTACAGTTTAAGAACGTACAGTCCTAGGTTCACTCCCCAGTATCACAAAATAACAGCAGCAGCAGCAGCAGCAGCAGCAACAAGCAAGCCTCTTACAGTTTTAATTTAATTAAATCTTCCTTGTCTTTAATCAAAGCAGTATTCTTTAGGTTTTTATATAGTTTAAACCATTACCTGTATATTAGGGCTGGATATCTTGTTTTTGAAGCTAAAATAGTATGTGATGCTTCATAGACATCTCCTGATCTATGTTTTCGTGCATGGAGGAAAGGCATACCTTTGCGCATCATGTGTGAATGACAGAGTTGTATGCAGTGTAAATCTCCCAAGGAAAACTGGCAATGCAGGATTCCCACAGAGCACTTGCATCTTGGCTGCAGGACAGTATTTGGTTCTTCACCCAACATAGCAAAGGATTTCCTGTGGAAACACACACATACTGATTGAGCTTTTATTACACAAGTGTGTTTGGACACCGTCCCTGCCCAGCATTTTGCAGAGTACAGACAGGTGATTATTGTAGGACTGTGACCACTGTGGCAAAGAGGTTTGTGCGTGTGCAAAGTGATGGCTGCCGTTTGTGGGTGTCTGCTGTGGCCCAGTCTGTGTATAGCACACATTTTACTTGGTGCTCACCATGAGCTCTGCCTAGCAGGCAACAGGGAGGGAGGCTGCTACCCAAGTGTCCAGCAGCAGTGTGGGTTAAGAGTCGACCTTGAGCTCCTTCCAGCTCTTGCCTCGTGCTCCTTTCTATATCCTCCAGGCATGTGCGTGTGTGCCTGTGTGCGTGTGTGTGTACGTACGTATCTGTATGTAGATGCACAGTCTTCCCACAAGCCCCATGTGTGTAACTCCACACAGAAGGACAAAGGGCCCATCAGAACCTGTCTTTAGCACCTGGTGAAGTCCCCAGCCTAATCCAGCCTAGCTAAGGAGTCCACAGTCAGTTTGCGTCTGAAGTAGGACTGCTCTAGGTGAGAATATGTTACATGCTTACCTCCAACTGTAGTGTGGACACACAGGTACCAAGTCACTATGAATAGTCAGAAGCTAGAGGCCAGTAGTATTCAATTTAGAGTAGATCTTTAGCTCAAAGCAGGCAGATGTGTGCCAAGTTTTGTGTCTGCCAAATCAGAATGCCTGAGCTTGGGACCTTTTGATCTCCCTTACCCCCACATGCTCTGCCCAGGCCCTGACTTAGGCTCTGGGGATTGCACAGTAAACTAACCGTCCTGGCCCTTCTGGGGCCTGCATGCCACTGAGGGGAAACCTTGGGTAAGAGGTGTCTCGAGTGTCTGAATGCTGTGATCAGAATGCCTGTGTTAGGGTTGGCTGCCCACGGTGGGGGTGGGTGCCACGTCCAGTACCTTCCTCAGGGAAACCTTTGAGGAGGAGCACCTGGAATGCAACCTTGAAGGCGAGGGGTGAAGGGCAGACCTGGGAGAAAGGGAAACAAACCCAAGCAAGGATGTGTATATGGATGCGGCCAGGGTGCTGCGCAGGTTCAAGCCTAGAAGCCTGTGCAAGATTCGAAGTCTTTCATTTCTATTTTGTCTTAATTCAGCAAACAGTGGGAAGTGAGGGGTTTTAATTGTGAATAGTGTGTTTGGTTCATGTTTTTAAAACTCTTCTGGAGAGATGACAAGGGGATAAGAGTAGTGCAAGTGCCGGAGGAGAAATCCTGGTTCCAAGATTTCAGGCCAGGAGGAAGGGGAGAGGGCTGAGCCAGTGGCTGGGAGGGCAGTTAGGGCCGGTGTGTCACTAAAGACAGCAGAGGGGGTTTCCTGGTTGGGGGCAGAGTGCTCTGCACTCAAGGGGGGACAGATGTGTCCCTGAGCTTTAGCATGGATGTGGGTGTCAGGAGTTTTCAGGCCTTGGTGGTCTTCATAACAGCCCTGGTTTTGGCCCCCATGTTTAAGAGATGCATGTACCTATTCTGTTTGACCCTCACAGCATCCTGTTGAAGTGAGTGCCATCTTAGAAGCTCACTAAGTTGTTCAGAGTTCCACAGTGGGAAGTGGTGAAGCCCAAATGCTATCTCCCAAATCCAGAGTCGAAGTCACCTAGAGGCCAGCAGAGTAACAGCACAAGTGCCCACCACGGCCTTTCCTCTTCCCTAGGTTACGGCCTCCACTGTCACCGGGCCATCATCACCATCTGCCGGCTCATTGGCATCAAGGACATGTACGCCAAGGTCTCCGGGTCCATCAACATGGTCAACCTCACCCGTGGCCTCTTCCAGGGCCTCTCCCGCCAGGTAACATCTGGACTCCGCTCTGTGTTAGGCCACACTGGCTGGGGGCCCCTGGAGATGCTCTTGGGGCTACCCAGGCATTCTTTGGTGTCTTGGCTCTGTTGGGTTGGTCAGAGCCACAGGAGAGTTGAGGGTAAGCTAACCTTTCCAGAAATACTTCAGGGATTTTTAGTGCACATTTGCAGGACATGCTGGTCACATTCATCATGGGCAGTTGGTGCACATACGTAACACATCTTCATTCTTTTTTAAGCTCCTACCCCGCCCTGCATCTCTTGGTTCCCTTCTTTTTTATAAAAGATATTTCCCTGTTTTCTATTATTTTTTTTTTTTATTTTGCTCTATAGTTTATGTTTTGGGTTTCTCATATAAGAGAAACTCTGTGATGCTTAAGTTTGTGTGTCTGTTTCACTTAATACTATGGTCTCAAGCTCCATCTATTTTCGTATGAATGACTTGAGTTTATCCTTCTTCATGGCTGAGGAGTACTCTACTGTGTGTAAATACCACCTTTTCTTTATCCATGCATGTATTGATGCACATACAGGACTTCATGGGGTTTTTTTTAAGTTTCAAAATTTAGTGTTTTTTAAAGCCAGGAATTATAATCTATATTTTATTGTGAATATGTACTATGGGCCGGGGATTTAGCTCAGTGGTTCCAGCGTCTGCCTGGCAAGCTCAAGTCTCCAAGTTCAGTCCCAGTACAAAAAAAAAATTGTATGAGATTCTTTAGCAGGGCGTGGTAGCACACATCTATAATCCCAGCATGCATGTGGCTGAGGCAGGAGGATCTGTGAGTTGAGACCAGCCTGGGCAACATAGTGAGTTCCAGGTCATTCTCAAGTACATAGTGAGATCCTGTCTCAAAAAACAAACAAACAAAAAAAGATGTACTTGACTGTAGTTCCAACTGTACTATAAAAGAGCAAGTCCCTTTCCTAAGTCAGCCCCTCCAGTCAGTACGGGGTGAGGGAAGCCCCCATGGACTCTCCACACTAGAGAAGCCTAGTTTTAAGGTTTCTTGCATAGGTAGTTCAGGCTGACACCCTGAGTTCATGGAGTGTGGGACACCAGGATGCCTCGGTGTTCTCCCTTGGAGGTGGGAGCCCTGGGCTGTTCTGCTTGGCTGGCTGGCTTGAAGTCTCTCTGCTCTGTGTGGAGGGTGCTGCATGACCCCTGAGGCCCTCACCTGCCCGCAGGCCTGGGCTGGCCCTGGAGCATGGGGCAGAGGTGGCTGAGCCAAAAATAGCCAGGCCGAGGACTTTAGGGTGCAGGGATGGTTTCTGAATAAGATGACCCATGGAATAATATTACGGATCTCTGATGACAACATGAAAATGAATTGTAACATCAAGATGCCTTTGACTACGAGACCTTTCGGGAGCCACTTCTGTGTATATTAGTACTATAAACACCCTTCAAAGCACTTCTGAATTCAAACCTCTTGTTGGAGGGTTAATTGCTAAAAGTAACCAGGCTGTTAGCTTTCGACAGGCCATGTTTATGGATCTGCAGACTTGTTCTTTCCTGTGGTCCTTTTGTTTTCTATTATTGCTTTGAGCCTTCTGGTGTAGTTACATGCATCGTCTCTCCTAAAATGCCATTGGTTATAAAGTTTCATATTTAATGTGCCACCTAAAAAGATAAAAGTGCTGCCAGTTTAAGTGACTGCCTTTCATTTTAAGACACCAATTTAAATTATCTTTTCTTTATGAAACAGTTTATCTTTTATCTAATTTTAATATATTTGTAGGATTAGAATACATAGTACAAAGTTGCTGTAAAGTCTCACATGGGAATAAACATATCACGTATTTAAGGAACAGTGAATAAACCATCCACTAAATTTATTTGCTTGTTTCCACACTTCTGTGGCCACACCGTGCAGTGAATCCCCACAGCCCTCTCTCAGAGCTCACGGCTGGCCTTGTTCCTTAATACACCTGCCTAGCCCCGTCATTTTGAACCAAATCTCAGGCATCATTTCATTTCATCCATTAATACTTCATAATACTGCTGTAATAGCAGTAACCTAGTGCATTCAGATATCCAATCTGTTTGTACAAATGTCTCCATTTGTCAGATTTTTAAAAACATTTTTATACAATTTGACAGGTTGCAGAAAATGTCAACATATGCTAAGTGTATGCTGTGTCATTTAAGTCTGTGGGTTTCCCTCTCCCCGCTCCCCGCCCTCTTTTGTTTCCTTGTCTTTTTAGTGTTGGGGAACCCAGGGCCCTGTATAGGTGAGGCAAGTACTCCACCAAGAGCCACTCCCCCACTGCATACTTGGCTTTTCTTTTTTTAGGAAATCAGGTGGTTTGTCCTGCAGTGTTTCCCAGTCTGGTGCTGATTAATACTTGTGTGTCCTTATGTCTTCCTTTCCTTGTATTTCCTACAAGTTGATACTTAGACCCAAGGGCTTGATGAGATTCGAGTTCACTTTTTGGCACAGCAAGGTACAGTTAGGGAGTGTGGATTCCTCAACCCAGCCGGGGCTGGGAGGTGGTGCTGAGATGATCCCATCCATGACAGGTCACCCTAATTTAGCCCAAAGCACATTCCCAGAACCAACTGGTACGGCATTTAACATCATGACGTTCTTAATTTCTTGCCAGGAAACCCATCAACGCTTGGCTGATAAGAAGGGGCTCCACGTGGTAGAATTCCGGGAGGAATGTGGTCCTCTGCCCATCGTGGTTGCCTCCCCCCAGGGGGCCTTGAGGAAGGAGCCGGAGCCAGAAGATGAGGTTTCAGACGTCAAACTGGACTGGGAGGAGGTGAAGGCCATGCAGGGCATGACGCGCTCGGTGTGGTTAGGTCTGAAGCGAGCCGCCACCTGACCTTCCTCAGGCCCCGTGCCATCACACCCCTCACGCCCTGGGGTGCTGCCTTCTTTCTTGCAGGAAAGTCAAACCTTTATGTCTTTATTTGCAAATAAATAATCTTTGCTTTAATTTATTAAGCACATAGTCTATAAACCAGTCCTTGTGATATATCGGAACTTTATGTATGTATCTTAGTTCACGGCTGCTTTATGTATGCCTTTAAACTAGCAAAGTATATATAATAGGGGGACAGAACTAATAGATCCAAGCAATAATAATCACAACAGTAATTGCTATAATAATTATAGCTAATGTCAGTAGTGCTGCTTCCACCAAAATGCATATTAACTTCATTTTGCAGAGCAGTTAAGTAACTTGACTGTTGAGGAACTACCGAGTCGTTCTTCACAGAGCTGCACCCTTTTTTACATTCCCACACCCTTGCCAACATCTGTCATTGTTTTTTATTTCCCCGGTGCTGGGGAACCCAGGGCCTCCTGCATCCTGTGTGTGTGCTTGCCCCTGAGCTGCACCCCAGCCCTTTTTCTGCCCTTCATGGTAGCTGTCCTGTTGGCTTCAGTTTGCCCATCCTAGCAGCTGATGGTGCTGAACATCTTTTCATGTGCTTTCTAGTCATGCATAGACATTTTTAGAGAAACGTCTGTACAGATCCTTTGCCCACTGTAAAAACTGTGCTGTGGTCTGGGGATTTAGCTCAGTGGTTGTGCTGCCTGCCTCACAAGGGCAAGGTCCTGAGTTTGATCCCCAGAACCCAAAAAAAACAAAACTGTGCCGTGTTTTTATTACTGAGTGGTCATCATTCTTTATGTATTCTGAATACAAGCTCATACCAGATATGTGACTTGCAAATGTTTTCTCATTCTGTGGAGTAAGTTATGTTCTCATGTATTTGACTGTTTCTGTAGCCCAGCCCAGGTCCTCCTGGCATGCTGCTGACCCAAAGGTTTCACTTTTTATCACAGCCCCACAAGTTCCTGAGACTGTTTATTTTTTCCAGTCTTTTCTCTCCCTAGAGTGGGTGGTTTCTGTTGTTTTATTTTCAGGTTCTCTGATTATCTTCTCTTCCCTCTCCATTCTATTCTTCATTCAGCCATTCAGTACTCTTATTTTGGTGATTGTGTCTATCAGTTCTGAAATCTCCATTTCAAATCATCTGTAATCTTCTCTGCCTTTGCAGAGACTGTTTTTCATAGTTTCGGAGTGTGTAGTTGTTTGCCACAGCGTTTGTATGATGACTGCTCTGAGATCCTTGTCACGTAGTCCCAGTGTCTGCCTGGTCTTAGCGTCGGTTCCTCTATCTCCTCATTCATTGTGACTTTCCTGTTGTTGGTGTGAGGAGTGATTTGCGTGGCATCCTAGCCATTTTCATTATGGTGCCTGGGCTCCTGGGATTAAGCCTTTGGCAGCAGCTTCTGCCTGTGCAGAAGAGGGTGGTGGTGGAGTCCACTTCCCTGCTGTGACCCCTGGGTGGGCCCCTGAGACCCCTACCACGTCTGCCTGGGTGGTGGTGAGGGTGCTCAGCTTGTGACACTGTTACGTGCAAGTGGGGCTGCGTTGTTTTTGTTTTGTTTTTCCTGTGCTATATGGCTGCGCTAAGGAAGTTATTGTCTAAGTTTCCTGTCTTGGTTACTCTCCTTAAATACCTAACAATTATCAAGATGACAAACTTGAGGTGGCAAAGGAGACTGATCCTTTAGAGATGAGAAACAGAATTATTCCTATTGCTATCTGGAGAAAGTCTGTGGCTCCGGAAGGGCCCCAGCTACAGGGCCTGGTGATGTCCTCCAGTCGAGCAGACTTGGTGGACAATGATGGTGATGAGGTCACAGAGGAGAGCCACCCCAAACGTGTCCCTCAAGTGTGCGGGTGTACCCAGGTGGGAACTCCCCAAGGGTGTTAGGTGACTGGGCCTTCAGCGCATGGCGCTTGGAACATCCAAGATCCCAAACACAGCATTGCCTTTATATCCAGGCAAGTTGAGGTGCTGTTGGATTCCGCTTTGTCCTGACTTCCTTCCTGAATGCTTGGCCCATCTCTGACAGGTGGTGAAGTCTCCAGCCATCCCTGTGGGTTGATCTGCTCCTCCCTGCAGCTCTGTCAGTTTGTGCCTCCCCTGTTTTAGTGCCCAGCACATGCACAGTAAGGATCTTTGTGTCGTCTTGTGCACTGACCTGTTTATCACTGTACAGTGCCTCCTTTCTGATTTCCCTTGCTCTGAATGTAGTACGCTTGCTCCTGCCTCCCTGGATTCGTGTTAGTGTGGTGTGGTGTGCCTTTCTCCCTTTCTCCATCTGTTCATTCATTCGTTCATTTTCCTTCACGTTTAATTTGCAGTAGTTTCGCCTTATCCACAGCTTGGCTCTTCACAGCTTCAAGAATGTACTTTTGCTACCATCTGAAAAATTTAAATGGAAAATTCTAGAAATAAACAGTTTCATAAATTTTCAGTTGTACATCGTTCTGAGTAATGTGATGAATCCTCACCCTGCCCGTCCTGGTACATGTGCCATCCCTCTGATAATGTCTTTGTGTATTGAGATCATTGTCATAAAGTGACTCTTGAAGTTGTTGAGTTAATATCTGCTGTACTTGTTACTGTTTTCTTTTTCTTTTTTTGAGACAGGGTCTCACTATGTAGTTCAGCCTGACCTTGAACTCACTATGGAGCCCGGGCTGGTCTCGAACTTCGGGCGATTCTTCTGCCTCAGCCCATTTTCTGTTCATTGCCCATTGTTCTTTTTTCCCTATTTTTGTCTTTCACTTTCTTTTCTGACTTTTGATTTCATTGTTTCTCCCTTCTTAGGGTGTCAACTGTACTTTTTTTTTTAGGGATTTCTCTAGAATGTGCAGCGTACATTTACGACTAATCCAAGTCCACTTTCAAATAATGCTGTGCTGCTTCCCAGATAGTGCAAGGGCCTCAGGGTCCCGAGGTCTCCCTCCACCCTCCCTCCTGTGCCTGGCAGCACTGCTCCTGCATTTCACACCTGCAGAAGCCATTCTCACTGAGCATGTTGTTGCTGTTGCTGTTTGGAACAAATGGATCTGTTAGCTCACCGAACTTTGTTTTCACTGCGTCTTCTCTGGTGCCCCCATTTCTTTATGGAAGTCTACATTTCTGATGCGTATCGTTTCCTTCTCTCTACAAGAACTTCTTTCAGCTTCTCACAAGCCAGGTCCACTGGCAACAAAGCCCCACAGTGCTGTCTGAGCCTCCTTTCTCCTGCACTCCCCAAGGGTAGAGTTACAGGATACTGAGTCTAGGTTGGCAGGAGTTTTTTGTTTTTAGCACTTTGAACTTTTCATTCTCTTGCTCGCATGGTTTCCGAGGAGATTGTGGATATGAGTCTTATTTTTGCTCCCCTAATAAGTAAGGTATTTTTCCTTTGGCTTCTTTTTAGGATTTTTTAAAATTTATTTTTGGTTTACTTTGGTCTAAATTTGATATGCCTAGGTATAGTTCTTTTGTTGTTGTTGTTTATATTTTTTGAGATAGGGTCTCACTATGTAGCTCAGGCTGGCCTTGAACTTGCAGTCCACATACCTCAGCCTTCTGAGTGTTGGAGTTTCAAGTATGAGCCCCTGCACCTAGCTATTAAGTGTTTTGTTTTGTTTTTTAAATCTCCAGCATTTGTTACTGATTCTTTCTTAAGAGTTTCCATCTTGTTTATATTACCTGTCCTGTGCTGCAGGCTCTGTGGCTTAGCTGGTTATAGTGCCTGTGAACCTGTCTTATAAACATTACCCATCCTGTTTTGAATGTTGTCTGCTTTCTCCATTACAGCCTAGCATATTAATCTTCTCTTTTTTTGGTACCAGGGATTGAATTTAGGACCTTGTGCTTGTGCGGCAGGCAGCGGAACCACTGAGCTAAATCCCCAGCCCTTGATCTGTTTGATAAGGAGGAATAAAAATATGGTAAATGTTTAAATCTTTTAAAATTTATAGTAAAAGACACATTGCCATTAATCTCCCTGAAAGTCCTCCCTCTTGCTTCAAACACACGCATCCCATTATTCTAGCCACTTTTTGTTGCAGCTCTGGAGCCCTCTTGTACGGTCAGACAGTTTCATTTCCATCACGGCAATGCTCTGAGTCACTTGTCATTCTGGTGCAGCAGTTTCTGTCAGGTAACATCACAGTGCGTCCTCATCCACCTGTTCAGCCCTCTGGCACTGTGCACCTTCTGGCTGTTCCCCAGAGTCGGAGTGACCTTGCATAGTGAACATTTTGAATTGATTCAGGACATCTAGGCAGCCATGACAGCACAACTACACACACTCACGAAAGAGGGCTCCAGAACTGCTTCAGAAAATGGTAAGAACGATGGGATACATGTGTTTAGAGCAAGGACGAGGTTTTGAGGGAGATTAATGGCAGAGTGTTTTTTACTGCAGTATAGTTTTTTAAAATTTAAAGTCATTATTTTTAGATTATGCCTTGTAAAAATCCCTGTTCTCATAATTCTGACATCTCTGTCATGTGACTGCTTCTGATGTCTGCTGTCTCTTCTGTGTCTTTTGCCTTTAGTTTACCTGGAAGCTGTACGTGAGGTGCCGAGTGAGAGGTCCTCCCTTATCTGGACTGTTAGTGTTATAGGGAGGGAAGGTGTGGGAAAGGGAAGGTCTTCAGATCTCTGATCAGGTCCCAGTTGTTCAGGGAGCCCAGTAGATTTTCACCCTGGGAGCCTGGAGTTTAGAAGGCACACAAGTGCAGGGCCCCTACGAGAGCCCCCTGGAGGGCTCAGGTACCTGACTTGCTCACACTGAGCCTCTAGCACTCCATCATTTACCCTCAGCCCTTCCCAGGATGTGTGTGGAAATGTCCATAGCAGCTTATTTTCAGTAGACAAAACCTGGAAGCGGTGCAGATGTGTATCAGCAGGTGAATGGTTGCGCGGGCTGCTTACAGGCTGGTCTTGGAAGGCAGAGAGAACTGTGGTGTAGGGGTAACAGCTGTTTATCAGCAGTAGGAAGGAAGGAGCTGTTGATATTTAACGTGGATGAATCCCAAAGTATTTATGGAGCACGAAAGAAGCCAGAGTCCCCCACCCGAAGACATCATGGCTGGCTCCATTTATACGGCATTCTAGAAAGTACAAGCTAATCCATAGTGACAGGAAGTAGCTCAGTGATTGCCTGGTAATGGGCAGGAGCAAGAATGCCTTGAAAGGATGGCTGGCGGTGAGAGATGCTCAGTCTATTGGTTGTGGTGATGGCTTCACAGTGGTCATGACAAAACTTATCAAAGAATACACCCTAGCCATGCAGATTGTTATTTAACTGCGTTAAAACTGCTTCAGAAGTTAGCTACAACCACCAGGAGGCAGAGAGAGAACGCTCCTGACAGTCCCTGCTCCTCTGTTGAATGCTTGAATGTGGCATTTGGTTCCAGGCAGGGGAAACACATCTCTTGCAGTTGGAAATGCTCACTTCAGACATGACTAAGTCATTCCTCTCTCCAGTGCTAGGCATGGGGCCTTCAGGACTGGAAATGCCACTTAGGAAACTGATCGTGGTTAAGCTCCAGGGTTTGTGCTACACCCACCTCTGTCTACCTCTGAGCCACACCCCCACCTCAGACAGATTGTACCAGGTTGCCCAGGCTGGCCTTGAACTTGCAATTCTCCTGCCTCAGCCTCCCAAATTGCTGGGATTACAAGTGTGTGCTGCCACATTGGCCGCTGTTGTTCAAGAATCACATTTGCTTCTCTTCCTGGGTTGGGTTGGGGATCAGACATTTTTCACTCACTGATCACATGGGTGGCACACAAAGCCCGCCTGCCCACCCCAGGTGTGTGTGGAAAGCATGGCTGGGGCTACAGAGGGCACGGGGGCGGCACACAGTGGTATGGGGAGTGAAGGCGCCTGGCTGTGGCTTGCAGAGAGGAGCAGGCACTTCACTGGCACAGTGCTTTCTGGAAAGAAGGCAGCATGCAGGAATAACAGTACCAGCACCAGCAGGAGGCACCTGATGTGGAATAATTAGGTGCAGCACAGTGTCTGTGCTGTGCAGCGATGGCACCGGCCACTGTACCTGCAGCTGGAGCCAGGTGGAGGCCCCTCTGCCTTTTTCTTGGAATTAAATCAGTGATTCTGAAGCCAGTGTGGTGGTGCACACCTGTAATCCCAGCACTCAGGAGTCTGAGGCAGGAGGATCACTGTGAGTTCAAGGCCAACCAGAGCTACACATCAAGACCCTGTCTCAAAAAACAACAAAGAAGTCAGTAGTGATTCTGGACTTTCAAGAGATTTGCTCACTACTTTGATGGTGATTGAGACCCTCTTCCCACCAGGAATATCATCCAGTGTATGTGTCCTGTGGCCTGTGTTTTCACAGTGGGCGTGGTAGGGCTGATGGTTATGGAGCACTTAGTGCACTACACAGTATTGTGATCCACTTACACTGTAAACTAAGCCCTGGAGCGCTGAGATTCCCAGATTAAATAATTGCTCAAGGTAACAGTGGCAGCACATGCCCAAGATCCCATCGCTCTGGAAGGCTGAGGCAGGAGGATCATAAGTGTAAGCCCAGCCTGGGCAATTTAGGGGTACCCTCTCTCAAAATTTTAAAAGGCTAGGGACCACAACTCAGGACAAAGGCACTGGGTTCAATCCCCAGTACCCTCTTCCCCACAGTTTTGAAACACTTGGGGATTTTAAGGCCAGGCTGCCTCACAAAGGCAGGGTAAGTTCTTTCAGGAATCCTTTTGGAGGCAGAGAGAAGTCCACCTCTAAGACAGGAAAGAAAGATCTTGGTCTGAGGAGCTGTGCTTGTGTGGGGGAAGGAGAATCAGCTCATGCAGAGCAACTGTGAGAGGGTCATGGCAGCTGTGTGCCAGGGTCCTGGTGAATTGAGCCCCCACAGGACAGCTCGGAGAGGACAGCATCACTGTCCCATGCTCCGTGCAGGCCTGACCATGGCAAGCAAGGTCCTGTGCACTCTGGGGACACCACTGCATGTCACCAAGTGGGTCATACACCGCAGGAGACATCAGGAAGCGGCTAGGATCAAGCAGGTGACCTGGCAAGAAGGGGCTTGTGGAGGAGGAGGGCACCTCGGGGATGGAGAGGCACAGAAAGAAACCCTTCCCCAAATAGTGAGATACAGGGCCCCTGTGTCCAGTGAACAAATGGATAATACTTTTTTATAAAGGGCTGTGTGCCCTGAGCTGCCCTTCTTCCACTGGGTCCTTGTTTTCCCATCTATAAAACAAGGGTGATTTAGCTCAGTGGTGCTGCTGCCTGAAAAAAAAAAAAAAAAAAATCCAGTAGATTCTTCAGCAAGGATTTCCTATAAAACAAGGGGACAGCCTCATGGTCATGGGGCCTAGGCCTAGGCATAGCACCCTGTCTGGCAGAAAGCTCAGCACCTGTGGAATCCTCTTCCAGTTGGGCTTCCTTGGGAAGGAGCTTCCCTGTGCCTGAGCTCACCCCTGGTGTGCACACAGCAGGGCTCCGTTATCTTTGGTCCCTGGAGAGCAGCCTTTGGTCCCTAACATAACCCAGAGGGCTCCGAGCTGAGAATGGTGCAGATAGGAGGGAGGAGTTGGGCTGAGGTCTTCGCCTTACAAACTGCTGGTGCCTCATGAAATGGTGCCGACCCCATGGCTGTGGGCTCTCAGCTCACCAAGCCCCAGCTCAGCAAGCGCTCTTCAAACCATGGCACCCTTAGGCCAGGGAGGCAGCCCAGGGCAGTGCTGTCTCTCACTGGGTCAGGGAGAGACCTTTACGTCATGGAGGAGTGGAGAAATTGCCACCTGCACTGCCAAGGTCATGCCTGAGCTTGTCTGTGGCTTTTCCATGTTTCTGTCCTTGAACAGGGGAGTTTATTGTCACTTGGGCCCTTTGCTAATGCTGAACCACAGTGATCTCCAGAGGATCCCAAGGCTGCCCCAGACCACCCTTTCCTGGTGAACCTGTGATGACTACCTCCTCCCATGCTGCGCAGGCCCAGTGGGGATTCTAGTGGTACTGCCCTCTCAGCCCCAGCCTGGGGAGCAAGACTGGCCTTGGACTTCCAGCTCCCCTCACCCCCACCTCAGCTCTGTTCCTGACTGTGCTCTGTGATCCAGACTGTGTGGGGGCCTCTGACAAAGGCCTCACCCTCCTCTCAGGGTTGGGTGGGGGCCCCTCCTGTTCCTCCAGGGTCATTCTGGCTGCCCTTAGACTGTAGCTCTCAGCCCAAAGCTCGCTGACACCAACAAAGAAAAGCAGTGCCCTCCCTGGTTTTCATCTGGTTCCTCCTTTCCTCCTGTTGAAACGAATACAAATGAGGAATTGCTCCCAAAGAAACTCCTTCAAAGCCCTGGAGCAGGAAAGAGACTTGACGGGGTTCAGAGACAGAGGCGATCAGAACAAATGGCCAAACTTCAGAGAACAGAAACAAAAGCAGGACTTGGAGTGTTCTGTCAAGCAGCTTTGAGCAAAACAGGATACTGGTTTGTAGGAGCCAGAACAAATGGACCTCAGAGGTGTTTTTGAGATGGTAGTGGTTTTTTCTCAGTAACTGTATGTACTCAGGACCAAGCAGTATTTCCCAGCTGGTGAGAATGGGGTTGGTTGGATGAAATGTGAGAATAGAGGGGTTCAAGATAGTTCAGGAAGGGCCAGGGATTTGGCTCAGCTGTTTGGTGGCCTGCCTTGCAAGCGCAAGGACCCAAGTTCAATTCCCGGTACAAAAAAAAAAAAAAGTTCAGGAAGATGCAATCTCTTAGCCCACACACACACCTCAAAGGTCCTATGTGTTTCAAGATGATGGCATGGACAGATAGATCTGTTTGTGCTTTTGGGACTCATGGAACAACATCTGCTCTTCTCTCAGACAGCCACAGAGGAGTTGCAGCAGCCATTTTGGTTCAAGCCTGTGAATCAGATGTTAACCATGTAACACCACATCTGTAGTGTCTGCTCCCACAGGGACAGGCCATACGGGAGGCTAGGTATTAAAGGCCTGCTTTGTGGGCCTTACAGAACCATCAAGGGCATGCACTGTTGCGTAGGCTGAGAAATCTCCAAGAATCAGCCTGATGCCAAGGTGGAGGTGAGGCTCACTGAAATGGCGGTCGCGTTGCCCTCACCCTACCCATGACTGTTTCCTCCCTGGCCAAAAGACTCACTCATCCCCTCCTCTGTGTGGAGCTCTTGCTTGTCACAGCCTGAGATGACACAAATCCTGGAGCGCACCCGAGCCAGCTGGTCACCCGAGTGGAGTGAGAGTGGGGTGGCTGTGTGCCACTCAGCTGCTCTTTAACTCCAAGGCCACAGCTGGCTCCAGTGAGGCCCTGTCCTAGGATTCCCAGTGTCTCAGTGTATGAAGATCCCTGCTTAATTATTAAAAAAATTTGTTGGTTGGCCTGCTATCAAGACATCAATAGTACACACACTGTTGATAGAGAACAAGACCTCTAAAAACCTGTGCATTCAACAGTGTTGTTACTGCAGGCATCACAAACATATCTATACATATTTGAAACGTAGCTCATGAGTTCATTAGACTGAAGATGGATGCTCAGGTCTGGTTTCCAGAGCATGGAAGGCACCGGTGTTTTAAATGAGAGTTCCTCTGAGTCCCCTGCGAGGGCTGGGTATGGCAGTGTGCATGGGGCACACAGATTCTTGCCCCACTGTGGCTACAACTGGCACTAGAGGATCTGAGTGTGAGGCCCAGGTGCCCATGTGGTCTCTGAGCCCCTACAGGAACCCTTTGTTTAAGGGCAAGAAGGCAGAGGTAGTGCCTTCTGAGCCAGCTATTCCCAAACCTGGCTGTCCATAAAAGCCCTCTACAAAATTCTTAAAAATGCTAGCTCCTGTATCCTCCTCTGGGCAACTGGATCCAAATCTCTAGGGCTTAGGCCCAGGGCTATATTTCTTGTCCAGGCAACACACAAAAAGAAAACTATATGTCAGTTCTGTGTATGCATCCAAAAGCTAAAATCCCAAATAAACCATGGTGTACTTAAAAAGCATCGCTGCATTGAAAACTTCTGCAATTAGGCATCATTCTCTTCTGTGTGAAGCTTTCCTGATTTCTTTGGCCTTGGGAAGATGAAATGTCAAGACACCTAGGGATAAAGGCCAAATAAAGGATTTCTTGCCAGTGTGCAGTTTCTGTCGAGCCAGAAGGTCCTAAACTCCAAAGCAGGTAGCCCACTGGTCCCGGAAGTGGATGCAGAGTGTGGCTGTGTTCCACAGCCAGGCTGTGAGAATGGCCAGTGGGCATGGGATGTTCTGGGTGCTTGGTCATATCCCATCAAGTAGAAACCACAGGTTGGAAACAAGAGTTGGCTTGGTCCCTTCTTTCTCTAAGATCTGCACATACCTGCTCACTGGACAATAAATGCATGACTTCCAAAAACTGATCAGACAAGGAAACTACATAGACCTCCAAGATGCTGCAGCCCCAGGTTGCATTCCAGGGAAGAGCCCGTAGTTGCCAGGGAAACTTGCTGGAGCTCATGGTCCTATTTTATTCTTTCCACCTTTCTCCCTGAGGAGAAGTCATCATGGGGGGGGCTGATCAGAGGACTGCCAGGACAATGGCCCCAGGTCAATAACAATGGTCCATCAGTACGATGAACTAGAATATCAGCTTAAATGAAGAAAACCTTGGAATCTCCAGGAGAAGCAGCTAAAAGCCCTACCCATTCTTGATCAAATCTCTTGGCCAAGTAGGAGTAGTGTGATAAATGGTACTTACCAGAATAAACACAGAATTGAATTGTGAGGCTTGAGGGAAATTTCTTCCATTGCAGGAGTAAACAGGACATGCTCACCTGTCCATCCACCTGTCACTTCTAACTTGGGGGTTTTTGGCCCAGTGCAGAGAGCCAAGAAGAGGGACAGGAAATAACAAAGCAGAGTTTGTGCCAGGGGAATTGTCCCTTGAGGTCATCCAAGAGGCTCCATAGAATTTTAGTGTGAATGCAAACAAGGCTTAAGTTACCCCACACAGGTGTTTGTGTAGAATATACCAGAAGTTGGCCAATGCCACCAAAGTAGCTGGTTAGGAAAAGAAATGTAAAAGAGCCTCCGGTCATGGCCTACAGATTACCAAGAATGTGAGCCAACAGAGGGTCCCATGCTAGGTGAAATAAGACAGGCACAGAAAGACCAACACCAGTTCAATCATATGTGGACTCTAAGGTCAAACTCATAGGAGTAGAAGTGGTTCAGCAATAATTATCAATGTGGGTGCCGATTAGCAATGAGTGTGACAATGGGTAGCAGTTTCTGTAAGTTATGCTTACTGAGTGCTCTGTGTCAGGCTGGCTGTGTGTTGCCCTCTTCACCTGCCACGTCTCATCTGATCCTTACTGGAGCCCCAGAAAGGACAGCCACAGACCAGAAAGTGAAGAACTGGCCAAGTTGCCACCCCATGTCACCAGCTAGGATATGTGGGAGCCTGTGATTTAAACTTAGACTATCTAACAAACAAAAGAAAGTACATGCAATATCTATTGCAAGTATTAGTAGAAAATCTAGAATATGCTTGTGACCTGCAAAAATGGAAGGTTTACTTAGAAAGCCAAAGCTGTGAAGGTGATTAATTGTTTGCCTATATCTACATGAAAAATTTCCTACAGGGTTGGGGTTATAGGTCACTGGTAGGGTGCTCGCCTAGCATGCATGAGGCCCTGGGTTCCCTCCTTAGCACTAACAACTAAAACAAACATTACAGTAAAATATGCACAAAACAGTGTTAAAATATGAGACTGATGGGAGGAAAGGACAATCTGGTAGAAAAATAGCCAAGAGTTGTAAAACTAAAGAAACACAATAACCAAGATTCATATAAAAAGACATCAAAATTCATAGAAATCAGGGAAATGAAAGCTGAAACCATATTATTATATAGAAAGTAAGCATATTGGTAATATGTGTAATAAAGGGATGGGAAGTAGATTCTTTCATACACCTTGGGGACACATTTAACATCCACTAAGATTTTATTTCTTGGTGTCTACCTTGAAATGCTTCTTTCATTATAATACTGCTTTAAAACAGCAGTGAAATTTCTTTCTTTCTTTCTTTCTTTCTTTCTTTCTTTCTTTCTTTCTTTCTTTCTTTCTTTCTTTCTTTCTTCCTTCCTTCCTTGGTCTTTTCTTTTGATACAGGGTTTTGCTATATAGCTCAGGTGGCCTTGAACTTACAGTGATCCTCCTGCCTCAGCCTTCCACCTGCTGGGATTATGGGCATGCACACTGTGCCTGGTGAAATATGTAACAATCTATCTTAGTTATTTTCTCATTGCTAAGACACAATACCTGACACCCACAGGTTAAAGGAGGAAAGGTGTATTTCAGCTCACAGTTTGAAGAGGTTTCAGTCTATAGTTGGCTGGCTCCAAGGCGAGGTGACATAGCAGAAGGGAATGTCAGAGGAGAAACAGTCCATTGCATGGTAGGCAGGAAGCAGCGAAGCAGACACACCAAGTCTTCTTTCCCCAGGCTAAAAGTCTTTCAGGTGGTACCACCCACACCCAGGGTGGGACTTCCCATTATCTACACCCAGAACTATGCTAAACCAATCAGTGGACTAATTTAGTTGTCACATCCTTAATCCATATTCACACTTCATAAATCCAGCCACCTCTGAAAAGACCCACCTGTGAGCTCAAGAGGCTTCAGGGGATGCAAGCATAACACAATCAAATGGCCATTGACAGGAGGTTTTAAACAGTAATTGATAAGATGCATATATCCTGACATGCAGAGTCCTTAGGACATATGATTGTCTGGAGGGAAGTCAGAAACAATCTGGACAGGTCCCTGTGTGCAGGCCTGTCAAAAGCTACAGTAATCAAAAGAGTGTGGTTTTGGCATAGGAAAGATATTGACCAATGGAATAGAATCAAGGCCCAGAAAGCTGACCCTTGCATATCGGGACAAATGATTCTTTTGGGAAGCGTGTCAAGGCTATCAGTGGGGGAAAGAATAAATAGTGTTGGAGAAACTGCAAAAGAATGAAGTCAAACTTTTCCCTGACACTGCATAAAAATTGAAGGAAGAGGGGAAAAGATGCAGTATTCATATACGTATGTACCAGTTCCACCAAGATAAATTAATTATATATCCATTTAAATGTATACCAATAATTAAAAAAAATTTAAACTGAAGATAAAGACTTACATTTAAGGACCAAACTGTGACTGTCAAAAGGAAATACAGGAAAAAATTAATGACATTGGCTCTGACAATGAGTTTTTGGATATGACATCCAAAGAGTGTAGGCTAAAAGAAAAAAAAAATAGACGTATTGGACTTAGTGAAAACTATACAGGGAGGGTGAGGCAGGAGCATTACGGTTTGAGCCCAGCCTGGGCAATTTAGCAACTTAGTGACCCTGTCTCAAAATTTAAAAAAAAAGAGTGGATGTAGCTCAGTACAAAGATCTTGGGTTCAATCTCCAGTACTGCAAAACAAAACAAGAAAGTATTGTACATCAAAAATTGACAATCAACAAGTAAAACTGCAGCATATAGAATTGGAAAAAATACTTGCAAATCATATATCTGATAAGAGATTAATGTTGAAAATGTATAGGGAACTCCTAAAACTCTCATCATCTCAGGAATAAAAAAGCAGCAATCTGAATAAAAAAGTCAAAAGATTTGAATAGATTTTTTTCCAGATTTTTATACAATTGACCAAGCATATTTCAACATCATTAATTATTAAGTAACTGCAAATAGAAATTACAGTTGGTGCCTACCTCATACCCATTAGGATGGCAATCATCAAAATAACAACAAATGTTGGTGAAGATATGTAGAAATTAGAACGCTTGTGCACTGTTGGGATGTAAAATGTATAGCTGTGTGTAGAAAATGGTGGTTTCTATTAAAAATAGAATTGCCATATGACTCAGCAATTGCACTTCTTGGTAGATAACCTAAAAGATTTGAAAACAGTGTCTTGAGATATTTATACACCCATGTTCAATAGCAGCATTACTCACAATAGCTAAAACATGGAAGCAACTCAAGTGTCCATTGATAGATGAAAGGATAAATAAAATGTGGCATATTCACACAGTAATATTATGCATCCTCGAAGAGGATGGAAATTCAGATACACACTACCAAATGGACAGCCTTGAGGATATTATAGTAAGTGAGGTGAGCCAGTCACAAAAAATAATTGCATGATTCCACTTATATGATGCATTAGTTTGTGAAGTAGTGAAATACTTGAGAAAATACTTTATAAAGAAAAGAGAACCTTTTAGTTCACGGTTCTGAGGGCTTAAGGGCATGACAGCACTGGCTTGGCTCTGGTGTGGACTTTTTGGTAGAGGGTGTAATGGTGGCATGTACACAGGAGGAAAAGATCACATGGCAAAAACAGGAAGACTAGAGCAAGACTGGTATCCCATGGTCCCTTCTGAAGGCAGTACAGCCAGTTGCCCCGGTGACCTCCCACCAGGCCCTGCTCTTGACTGTCTTCTTCCCAGTTGACCATGCTGGGGACCAAGCTCCTGACAAATGAGCCCTCAGGGACTGACCCAGACTACCCCCACACTCTAGTCAAATCAATAATATTTTGAGATATAATATAGAAAAAAACTTCAAGACTTTGAAGTAGGCAGGTCCTTAGAAATATATCACCTGCTTGGCAAGCACAAGGCCCTTCGTTCCTAGTACCAGCCCCACCCCAAAAAAGAAATACAAAAATCATGGCTCACAGTTTTCAGTGGATTCCAAAAAATGGCTGGCTCCAAGGCAGACACAGCATGGCAGAGGGCCTGGTGGAGGAGAGCTGCTCACCCGGAGGTGGCCAGGAAGCTGAGGGAGAGAAGGGAGGAGTTGAGACAAGAACGCACCTTTCCCAGGTGGTGCGCCAGTGACCACCTCCAACCAGGCCCCACCTCCTGGCAGCACATTCAGCTCTGAACTCATCGATGAATGAATCTGCCGATGACTATAGTGCTCCATGACCCAATCACATAAGACCTTTGGGAAACATTTTATACCAAAGCAGGAAGTGAATGTGGAAGGAAAAGGAAGAGAAGTTAATTTATCATCCATAGCAAGAAATCAGTGACTAAAACCTAAACCTTCAAAACCCAAGAAGCTTCAACATGCATTATTCATGCCTGGAAACAAACACCAAAATGATCAGCTACAAGAAGCAAATTGGTTGCTTCCAGGAGAGAAGAGGAAGGTGCGGAAAGCAATAATACAGGGGAATGTGGCTTTTTATAAAATATTTAAACTCTTGAAGCCATATGGATATCTAACCATGGTTAAGGAAATGAAACTACTAACAAAGGTGAAGAGTACATTGGAGGGCAGGAGTGGCAGAGCCATGAGTGAGTGCACTCTTCCAAAAAGTCTGCTGCAAAAGTTTGAGGAGGAGCAGGGTTGGTGGAGGTGTTTGTCTTGGGTTTGTTTGACTTGGGTAGCTGTTAGTTTTCTGTCATTTGCTTTTAGCTTGTTTATGTGTTCATCTGTTTTGGGTCGTGAGTGGAGATGCTGTCTTGAAGGAGGCAGGGATTTTAGTACAGTGGGCCCTCCTTGTCCTTGGGAGATGTGTTTCACGACTCCCCGTGGGTGCCTGAAACTTGGGTAGTCTGCTATTGTTTTTCCTATGCACAAATTTAGTGCCTTTTCCAACTTTACAAAGTACTTATCATGTACTGTGGCTGGCTGTAATGCTGGCAGTTTGAGGTGTGACAGCAAGACTAGGACAAATTGCTTTTTCCTCCACAATTTCACAGATAGACAATTCATTGCTACTGCAGATCCTAGCAACCTAAGCATATGCTTTATTTTTATTTATTAAGTAAAACATGTGAATCTTTTCACATAAAGGAAGCCACTTGGTGGCTTCTCTTTGGCATGCCCAAGTTGCCAACATCACTGCTTATGTGCTTTGGGAATACTAGTAAGTAAAACAAGGGTTACTTGAACACAAGCACTGTGATAAGGTGACAGGTATCTGAAACAGCTGGCAAGTGACTCCTGGGTGGGTAGTATATACAGTGTGGATGCACTGGGTGAAGGGATGATTAATCTCCAGGGCAGAATGGAGGCAGATGGTTTGTGCCACTCAGCACAGTTCATGGTTTAAATCTTATAAAGTGCTCATTTCTTGAGTTTCCATTTAATATATTCAGACCTCAGTTGACAATTGGTAATTGAATCTGTGGAAAGCAAAACTATAAATGAGAGGACTACTGTATATACTTTGGGAACAAACCAACAGGATCATTGTATAAACTATGGGGACAGAACACAGGAAGACCACTGCATACACTGAGGACAGAACAGCATGGGTAGAAGGAGGCCAAGGTCCTGGAGGGGGAGCACTGGCCTCAGATAGATGAAAGGACTCAGTGTGATGGGGAGAAGGGAAGGATGCTGTAGATGGGGAGGAATAGGGCAGGAATAAGGAGCCTAAGAAGGGTCAAATCATGGGAAAATTCCTCTGATTAGAAACTTATTTATAAATTTAATTTTTAAGAAATATTTCAAGTTGAAGGTGATGTCATTTGTTGTTCCAGATGAGGTGACTAGCAGGGGATTAGGAGGTCTCCAACCATGTTTCCATTGCTGGCTGAGGCTGCTGAGTTGGAGCTGGGAAGGCAGTGGTGGATGCCTGAATTCTGACTCCACAGAGTGCTCCTAGCCCTGTGGGTGGAGGGACAGAAAGAAAGTCATCCTCCCTGACTGAGGAGAAGTAAGGGCCCCTGGTGCCCACCTTTTGGGCTGGTGACCTAAGAGTGGCCCTGTACCGCACATTGCCCTGAGGGCTGATGTGGAGTCCCTAAGAGATCCAAGGCCATGAAGAAATCAGGACCCCAA